TTTGGAAACAGGCTTATGTTGGACAGATGCCACAACGACGGCCCTGGGTGGAGCCAGTGATCATCATCCGAAAGACACTAGGCTCTGGAAAATAGAGAAACATGACAGAAGACAGAGAAGAAGAGTTTGCTTCCAATTCTTTTTCGTCCCCCACTGGGAGATGGGTAAACACTACTGTTCCTATGACGAAGCCTACCCAAAATGGAGCACTTTCCAGGAAAGAATCCTACAATAAAGTGCTTACTGACAGCAAATGCTGTGTGCAGGCACGTTCTCATCAACACTTTCCATGCATACAGACAGCTAAGTAGGAATGCTATTAGGCAGCAAACCAACCAGTTTGGGAATAATTTCAGAGAATACAACATTCCCACTAAGGCTTCTTTAAGGCACACGTCTTTCATGTTCATATCGGATATGCAGGATGGCAGTTAGCACTCAGTAATGTGGGAAAACCTAACACCTGGCGCTATCTTTAAGCTGACCTTGCCTCACGCCTAAGAGACTAAAAGACTAGAATAAGGGTCAGTGGACTTAGTTTTCAAATAGTTCATTTCCCCATCTTGCAAGTCACTGAAGTCCTGGGAACACCTTCATCCTTGGGGCTAACAGTCAAACATGTAGGGTATTGTCTGTTTCACTATCCATATATACAATTGGCATCAACACAAGGGAAGATTTATTTGGATGAAAAAAGGCATACCTGTTACATTTACATTTCTGCTGTGGAGAACTGAACCACCATCCAAACTGACCCAGAACTCCCTCAAGAATAGCAGCTGGGAAATTAAGCCAGTTGAAGGTAGGTGGGTATCACTCAAGGGAAGAAACGCCCTACCAAGTGGGACTGTTACAGTGCACATGTATCCCAGTACATCTGTCTCTCTTTAGCCCAGAGTAATGCTTTCTTGGGTGCAGGTGGACTCATTCAGCCTCTACAACAGAACTAACCACCATCTGTCCAGAGAGAAACCACTTGGGACAATAAAAGGCAAACAAATTAATCAAACTGATTAGACTGTTTAGACTGATTAACTGATGAGACACCAGCACTGAACGCTACACTTGTATTTTCTAGCTATACCTTCATGAGACTTTACAATCTTCCCAATAAACTAGAACCCCAGTTTTTCCAATAATATTATGAGCTTATTTTCAGTATTATCTGCTTGCCATGCCAATCTCCTTAAAGCAGCAGTATCTCACTCCTTACCTCCTTTGAAAGTACGACTGCTCCACTGATTTTGTTAAATCTATTAATTTTCAACCCTGAGATTCAAAAAAGTGAACTCACCTGGACCAAAATCTCTATTTTATTCTGTCTACCTGCTAAGTCAAAGGGCAGAGAAACTCTTCAGTAAACAAACTGAACTCAAAGTACCAGTTGCCATCCTCCACGAAGTTCATGAGCTTTCTCACAACAGGCTGGTGCTAGAGCAGACGCTCCTGCAAAAGCTCCTGTGCTGCAGCCTGGACAGCAGGCAGATCCTCAAGAGCAGGGCTTTCTGAAGCATCACCTCCGAACTCCGAAGGGACTCATGCAGGTTTTTTTAAGATTATTTTAAAGGCAGAAATAGAGAAGGAGACAGAATCATCCATCCACTGGCTCACTCCCCAAATGGCCACAATGGCTAGGGCCGGCCAGGCTGAAGCCAGGAGTTTCTTCTGGGTCTCCCATGTGGGCGCAGGATCTGAAACAGTTGGGCCACCTTCCACTGTTTTCCCAGGCACACCAACAGGGAGTTGGATCAGAAGTGGAGCAGCCAGGACTCGAACCAGTGCCCATATGGGATGCTGGCACTGCAGGTAGAGGCTTAACGTTCTACACTACAACTCCAGCCCCTAATGTTAGTTCTTGCAGAACTGGGCTAGTTTTCATGAGAGTGAGTAATTAAGGGGCTGTTTCACCATGTTGTGATACCGTGTGCAGGGGTTGGAGGGTGCTGACACAAGCACCAAATAAGCCTCTTTATATCTCATCCAGAATCAGGTATTTTGTTATGGCAACAGAAAACAGACCAAGGCAACCACTCTCAAAAATGCAAGCCTGCGTGCTCCAACTTTCAAACACAGCAACTGGTACAGAGGAGACAAGTACAAAGACAGGAACTGTGATCGCTTTGGAAATTGGGCTCATGAGGAGGGGAAGGATGGTTAATGTGCTGCACTCGTTTGTACATACTCTTGGTAACAGCAAGTACCAGACCTGTTCGCTGGGGTGAGCTGAGAACGCCCTTAGGTCCCTGCAGGGAAGAAGCCAGACAACAGGTATTCCAGAATCACGGCGCCTCATTCTTCAGCCCTGCGGATGCTGCCCCTGGCTGTGCTAAACCTTGCTTTCTGTTTTAGATGTCCCTTTCACTGCAGATCCAAACCCTCTTGATTTTTACATTTTCCTAGGTCATACTCCTCATTTCTATGTTGGTTATCTATTAATATCACCAAAGTGATACAGAATAAAAGCGGCTGACAATGCACCAAATTCTACTTTTTCATTCTCTGTTATCATTCCAAAACACTAATCAGCCAATTTAGTAAGAATTAGTTATTTTCCCCCACTGGACTTCACACACACTGTGTGAAGAGCTAGTTCTTGCCATTTTTTTAAAAGGATTTATTTATTTTATTTGAAAGTCAGGGTTACAGAGTACAGAGAGAGACAGAGAGAAAGATCTTCCATCTGCTGGTTCACTCCCCAAATGGCTGCAAAGGCTGGGGCTGGGCCAGGTCGAAGCCAAGAGCTTCCTCCGGGTCTCCTATGTGGATGCAGGGACCCAAGGACTTGAGCCATCCTCCACTGCTTTCCCAGGTGCATCAGCAGGGAGTTGGATCAGAAGTGGAGCAGCCAGGACTCAAACCAGTGCCCATATGGGATGCTGGCACTGCAGATGGTGGCTTACCCCGCTACACCACAGCGTTGGCCCCCTTGCTGTTCCTTTAGACATGTGCGCCTATGGCTGTCGGTCATAACTGCTCTTACTTATAATGCTCTTCCCAAATTTTCCTGATGTAAATTCTGCCTTATTTCGCCTATTGAAACTTTTCGTTACTCCTGTCAACTTAGTTTCCTGCTGTCATGCTCAGAGTTTTTACCACACAACAAAATACAACTTTCTTCCACGCATACACTGAGGACTATATCACAAAGTCTCAGGCCAGAGACCACTGGTTCCTGAAAAATGTCTCTCTCTCTGAGACACTGTCAGAGCAGAAAGTACGGGCAGGACATCAGATTGATCTGTCCACCAGCCTGAACTGCAGTGAAACTATCATGGGAAAAAACAGAGATATTAGCATTTTCTTAAAAAAAAAATTGTCTTCCAAGTGGTGTTTATACAGGCTGAGTTTACCACATCTGAGATGCCAAGGGCCAGCATTCCTTCAGATTTCAGAGTGTTCTGGATTTTGAGATACCCACAAAGACCTTACCAGCTAAGCATCACTAATCTGAAAAACCCGAAATGCTCCCAAATGTGAAACTATTTGAGCACCATTTTGGGGTTTTTAACTTTTATTTAATAAATATAAATTTCAAACGTACAACTTTTGGATTGTAGTTTTTCCCCCCAAAACCACCCTCCCACCCACAAACCATCCCACCTCCTACTCCCTCTCTCCCATCCCATTCTTCATTAAGATTCATTTTAATTATCTTTATATACAGAAGATCAACTTAGTATATACTAAGATTTCAACAGTTTGTACCCAGACACACAAAGTATAAAGTACTGTTTGAAGACTAGTTTTACCGTTAACTGGCATAGTACAACATATTAAGGATAGAGATCCTACATGGGGAGAAAGTGCAGTGACTCCTGTTGCTTATTTAACAATCGACACTCTTATTTATGACGTCAGTAATCACCCAAGGCTCTTGTCATGAGCTGCCAAGGCTATGGAAGCCTCTTGAGTTCACATTGAGCACCATTTTAGAGCTCGTTGTGGATTATGAATTTTAGATTAGTGAAGCTCGACTTGTACAACCTTCCTAAGTAAGGTATCTCATTATAATTTAAGTATTGCAATGAAATTCAATCTTTATAAATTTCATCACACTTCTTTAAAGACAGGCACATTGGGAAAAGGCTGAATCACAGTTTACATTAAAGGCTCATATGTGTTTATTGTATCAAATGGTTAGCAAAAGATGCCCCCCTTATTTTTTTTAAGATTTACAATCTTCCAAAATGTTAGTCCTTAGGTTTACTAAAAATAAATCCTGTGAGCATTTAAACAGAAAATGTTTGTGGGGGTCAGAATTGCGGTACAGCAAGTTAAGCCACTGCTTGCCACACCAGCATCCTATATCAGAGAGCTGTTTCAAGTCCTGGCTGCTCCACTTCCAATCCAGCTCCCTGCTGATGCACCTGGGAAGGCAGAGGATGATGGCCCGAGTACTTGGGCCCCTGCCATCCACATGGGAGACCCTGATGGAGTTCAGGCCTGGCCATCTGGGATGTGAACCAGCAGATGGAAGCTCTCTCCTACTCTGTCACTCTTTCAAATAAACAATCCTTTAAAAAAAATTTTTTTTAAATATATTTGTTGGGGTGGGCATTGTGGCATAGCAGGTAAGTCCATGCCTGTGATGCCAGCATCCCACATGGGCACCAGTTTGAGACCTGGCTGTTCCACTTCTGATCCAGCTCCCTGCTAATGTGCCTGGGAAAGCAGCGGAAGATGGTCCTAGTACTTGGGTCCCTGCAACCATGCGGGAGACCAGCAGAGAACTCCAGGTTCCTAGCTTCAGCTTGGGCTAGCCCCAGCCATTGAGGTGAGTAAACCAGCAGATGAGAAGATCTCTGTCTCTCCCTCTCTGTAACTCTGCCTTTCAAATAAATAAATCTTTTATATTCGTGAGCATGTCAGCCCCGGTAGCCTAACGGATAAGGCATTGGCCTCCTATATTTGTGAGCAACGTTCTGAAGTTTGAATGTATATTAGTAATGATGTAGTTTGTAACAAGCATAATTAAAACTATCATCCCTTACGGAACTTACCTTTAATCTGATGAAATCTTTTAACCAGATCTTTTATATCCAGAGCAGTATTCCCTGCAGGAATAAATGTAGGAAATCAAACACAGACACAGAATCTAAAACGCTTTCTCTTTCAAAGCCACACATACATCATCTAGAGCAGTCACTAACCTTCTCTAAACACAATCAGTTCTTTAAAATACACTGCTGCAAACTGGGTGATGTTTGGCGGATTGGTTCTAAGAATGGCTCTGCTAACTCCCTCGAGCAGAGTCTTGAGGCCATAGGGTACGACAAGTCTGGGCTTTGAAGAAATCATTGTGGCAGGATGTCTTTAATCTCAACTATAATGGAGAAAAAGCACAGTCTTGTAAACAGTCTACCCATCTACTAAAATATTTTTATGAGTTAACTATAGTTTCCATAACAAGTCTCTTCCATTCAACTCACCGGCTTTATAAAATTCTAATCTCCAAAGGGCTAATTCTTGATGGTAGTTTAAAAGAACGTTCCACTCTAAACAGTTTACAACATACAGATGAGCGATCTAGTACTCTTAACACAAGGCATAGGGGAGGCCCCACAGGACTCCCAGGATCATCATTAAAAGCAAAAAACAAAAAGCCACCAAACAATACCTATTTCTGTAAAATTCAGTAAATATTCTGGGCAGCAACATTTTGAGAAAGACAAATTAAGCTCACGTATCTGTTTCCCAACACAGGGCTCCCGCCCTGGCTTCTCTGTACATCTTATCAAAGAAAGAGTTACACAACAGTGTTTCTGTGTTCCTCTAAGTGTAGCCTCTGTCATGAGGCTTATCACTGCCAATGCATTTCTGCCTTTACACTTAGTTTTTAACAATAGCCAGAGCAGGCATTAACTTATCGTTCATAGTATTATATCCCCCACCATCATAAGCACTTCTTTTCATAAGTCGTCTTTTCCTGGAGCTGCCCCTCCTGCATTTCTGGCTTTTAAGTGGTACCAAGGGTATCACGTAGTCCAATTTGCAATCTCAGAGCAGCAAAGGTTGCCACCCGAAATTGTGTATCAGTGAACTGTGTTCATAGAGAAGTTTTTTGAAAGCTTATAAATCTACAAAAGAGGAAAATTTAAAAAAGGATATCTCATCAAGGGTAAGGGGCAAATTATGGTAGGAAAACAGGGAGGAGTTAAGGCAGGCAAGGTTAGCATCCCAGCGCAGGGCAGTGCCTTCGCTTTGACACAGATGCCTCCCGTTCATCCCGAGCAGCTAGCACGAAACGGAAAACAGGTGGTTTAATGACTCAGGTTGTCTGAGTTTTTACTTCTTTTTAAATCACGGACTTGGGAGAATGACAACTGCTCTGGTCCTTATAAAGACAACAGTGTGACATAATGAGCCATGTCCTCAGCAACATCCCTACAGCACCGAATAAGGAGTTTCATGGGGCTAAGTGGCACCTTTTAGTTACAGCAATTATGTAAGGGGCCACCTTCCAACAGACAGCAACTCACGTGGAACAGCAAAATGTTAAGTATTTAAAAATGCGGCCAGTCCCCGTTGCTCCTCTTCCAGTCCAGCTCTCTGCTGTGGCCGGGGAAGGCAGTGGAGGATGGCCCAAGTGCTTGGGCCCTGCACCCGCATGGGAGACCAGGAGGAAACACCTGGCTCCTGGCTTCGGATCAGCGCCAGCCGCAGCAGTCATTTGGGGAGTGAACCAACGGAAGGAAGACCTTTCTAACTCTGCCTGTCAAAAAAAAAAAAAAAAAAAAAAAAAAAAAAAAAAAAAAAACCTCCTCTTCCCAAAGGTCAGGACAAAATGAAATCCGTATTGCTAAAAGCAAACCCTTTGAAAACAAAGTATATGAACTCCTTTAATGAAAGCTTACTAACAGAATATCACTCAATAGGAACTTGATTTAGGTAAACCACCTTTTAAAAAATTGTAGTGCAACTCTGGCAGAGCCACATGCTTAGCACTAAAGGCACAGGCAGTAATAATTATGTGTGACACATATATACACTTTTATATTTCACATAATTTTTTTTTTTTTACAGGCAGAGTGGACAGTGAGAGAGACAAAGGTCTTCCTTTGCCGTTGGTTCACCCTCCAATGGCCACCATGGGCGGCGCGCTGCGGCCGGCGCACCGCGCTGATCCGAAGGCAGGAGCCAGGTGCTTCTCCTGGTCTCCCATAGGGTGCAGGACCCAAGCACCTGGGCCATCCTCCACTGCACTCCCTGGCCACAGCAGAGAGCTGGCCTGGAAGAGGGGCAACCGGGACAGAATCCGGCGCCCCGACTGGGACTAGAACCCGGTGTGCCGGCGCCGCTAGGCGGAGGATTAGCCTAGTGAGCCGAAGCTATATATAAAATTCTTAAAGTACCCCCAACGTGAGCAGATGGGCTTCCAAATAGGCTACCAGGCCTCAGATGGAACAAAACCCCCTTTGTGTAGGCAGCCTGGGCTCCCAGCTGGGGATGGGGAGGGGGCTAACTCCCCCTGGGTGGAGGGGTGGTGGTATGCTGTGCCCTAACTCCATTTGGGACCCTATAGGGCGGACCAGGGATGCAGAACCACCTTGAGCAAGAAATGCGGCTTATAATGAAAACACAAAAAGAAAGACTATACAAATGGGTAAAATGCATAGACACAAGTACACATTGTTTCAAAGTGATAGCTTGGGGCCTGCATTTGGGCCGTCGTTGAGACTCCCACATCCCACATCAGGGTGCCTGCGTGGGCTCAAGTCCCAGCTCTGTTCAGATTCCAGCTTCCTGCTAGTCTGCACCCTGGGAGGCAGCGAGTGATGGCTCCACTGTCTGGGTCCCCGCCACCCGTGGGAGAGATCCGATGGAGTTCCAGGCTCCCAGCCGTTGCGGGCATTTGCGGAGTGAACCAGCAAATGGGAGATTTAACTCTCACAGCCTTTCAAATAAACTAAACTTTAAGAACAGCTTAATAACTTCCCAAATCTTTCCAGAGTACTCGCCAAAAACTAAAGACAATCGTGCCCCGCCCACCCCCCAGCCACAGGTGCAATGCCGTGAGCAGGGAAACGGCGAGCCCACGGCGGAGGATGCGCGTGGGGGCTGCGGAGTGCCACCCACCGCCACGCCCTCAAAGCCGCGGCCCGGGCCTTGGGCCCCGCTCTGTGCCTGCTCCGTCCTTCGGCCAGCCCCCCTCGCGGGGAGGACCGGGAAATGCGGGAGACCGCGCTTGTGTGCAGAGGACAAGGAAGCCAGCCCGCCCCACAGGCGCCCCCTCACTCCGGGGACCCTCCGCTTTCCCCGACACTTGAACCTCGGGTCATATCTCCCAACTCGAGATGCGCCCTGAGGTGCCCACTGCCTGTGGGGGCCGCAGGTGGGGTCTCCACTCCCGACCCTCCCCCACCTTTTTCTTTCCGGCTACGCTCTAACGAGCTTCCTCGTTGCCCCCTTGCCGGCGGCTCCTGGGAAACCGCCGCCTCGGCGGTGCCTTTTATAGCCCCGGAAACGTCACACCGTGCGTCACAAAGCCCTGCCCTCTCCCGGGAGCCTCCGGGCGTCACGAAAGAAGGCGGGGCCCCAGTGGCTCCCTCCAATAGGGGACCGAAAAGGACAAAGGCCGGAACTCGGCGCGGAGGGCGGAAGCTGAGCCCTTCTGCTGGACGCCGAGGGTAACTGGCGTTTTCAAACGGCTGGCCCGGAGGTCGGGACGGTGCCTCGCCATGTTTGGTCGCTGGGTGTGAGGAACTGGTTTGGAAGGAAGGAGACATCGACTTGGGGCAGTTCCATCTTGTCGTTTTCTGCTTTCCACACCCGACTCCTCGCCCTTATAATCTGTAATTTCGGCTACAGTGTTCATAACAAACACCAGTATATAAAGGGAATAATCTCGTGCAACACAGCACTTTTCCTGTTGAGAAACACATCTGTGAAGTGAGGGTTTGGCACCAATCCCGAAGCTCTCTGATTTTCCCTAATGAGGACTTCTTAAAACCATCACCTCAGCAGCAGGTGCCAGTAAGCTCCTTGCGTGTGAGCTCAGCTCAGTCTGCCCAGCTTAAGGGAAGTTCCCTCAATAAGTATCCACTTTCTTTCCATTCAGGCGTCCATATTTATAGTGGGCATTAAATAATACCATCATCATATTAGCATTCCAAGAAAACTTCAAATGTGTAAAAAACAAGAACCACTATGTAGCAACATCTGGGGGGTTGTTATTTGCGAAGTGAGTTAAACTGGGCTTGGGACACCCGCATTCCATATGGGTTGATGGGACCTATCAAACTACTGTGCCTGGGAGGCAGTAAGTGATGGCTCAAGTCCATGGGGCCCTGTCCCCTCGTGGGAGACCTGGATGGAGTTCCATGCTCCTGGCTTCAGCCTGGTCCAGCGCTGGCTGTTGCAGGCATTTGGAGAGTGGCCCAGTGAATGAAAGTGCACTCTTTCAAGTAGATAAACATTTTTTTAAGATTTATTTATTTGAGAGGCAGAGTTACAGACAGAGTGAGAGACAGAGAGGTCTTCCATCTGCTGGTTCACTCCCCAGATGGTCGCAACTGCCACAGTTGGGTTGATCCAAAGTCAGGAGCCAGGAGCTTCTTCCGGGTCTCCCATGTTAGTACAGGGGCCCAAGGACTTGGGTCATCTTCCACTACTTTCCCAGGTCATAGCAGAGAGCTGGATCAGAAGAGGTGCAGCCAGGATACAAACCAACACCAATATAGGATGCTGGCGCCGCAGGCAGATGCTTAACCTAGTATGCCACAGCGCCAGCCCCTAGATAAACATTTTCCAAAAGGGCCATGTTAAGGCTTCCCTCCACATCCTTCTATGCACACAGACAGCACTTACTCATTTTATTTAATTTCACTCACTTATTAATATATTTCATTCATTTCGCTCGCTCTTCTCTCTCGAAGATGGCATGTTTAAAAGGGAGAAATGCTCTCTGCTAAGTCTGCAGTTGGTACACTTCCCACCTTTCATCATCTGCCGAGAGCCCTTTTAGTGGTTAAATGACAGTGATAAAGACTGTCTTATTTCAGTTTAGCTTATAAAACAATTAACTCTCAAAGGTATAAGTGAACTGAGCTGCTCCAATCCGAAGTACAAATATTAGGAACCATTTATGTTACCTTTTGGAGGTGGAGACGTGGTTGAGTAACCTAACTAATCTTGTTGGGTCATCTTTAATGTCTGTTAAATGTCAGACACCGTGTAGAAATACCTGTAATTTGGAAGGCGAGCCCTGACTCCTCCCTTGTGTCTTCAATGACTGGTTTGAGTCGCTCTGAAAGGCACACTGGTACATTGAAAACATTTAACCACGAATTGTCAAACCAATGCCCATTTACTGCATTGACTTCTTGAACTCCTAATGATTTGATGAGGCTTCACAGTCCTGCCTTGGTGTTCCTGTCCCTTCTAGTCATTAGTGATCTAACTGAAATGCACATCAGCTTGGTTTCCCACTTCCCTGCTCCCTACATCCCAAATCCTGACCCTATGGAAATCGGAGGTTCTTGGGGTGGCCTCTCTCACCATCTAGCTCCCACGTGACTCTTCAGACTTGAACATACATGCTGTTGGTCGCCTCAACTCTCTTGCTCATCAGGGTAGAGACCTGGGATGCCCCTTCAGCCATTGCTTTCATCTGACTGCATCCCTGTTATTTAAAATTCAGCTTAGAAACCTCCAACTGTATTTATCTGAGGGACACACACAGAGCGAACTCCCATTCCCCAAATGCCTGAAACAACCCAGGCTTTGGCCAGGCCTAAGATAGGACCCTAGAACTCAATACAGGTCTTCCACTTGGGTGACCCAAGTACTTGGACCATCCCCTGCTACCCACCCGGGGGTGCATTATCAGGAGGCAGAGCCAGGACTTCAACCGGACACTCTGATAGGGAACAAGGGACTCTTAACTGGTAGATCCTCCACCCCACAAATCTACCTTAGACAGTCAGTGGGTTAGAGTTGCCCTTGATATATACAGTTATGACTGAGCTTTGCCATGTCATTGTTCGGTTCTTCTCCCAGATTACAAAGCACCTGACAAAAGATAACCTAGGGCAGTGTTTCCCTAATCTAGATCACCTGCATTAGAAACCTCCCAGAAGCTTGTTAAAAACACCTCCCCCGGCTCTCTCCAGAACCTACTGAATCAGAATAGGGCTAAACTGTAAAACAAGAAAATTCAGAACCACGGGCCTGCGGGAGGAGCCATGAAGGGTTAAGCGGATATCACCTGGGTTACAAGGACATTGCTTCTCTCTTGGGCCCATGTTAGCAAGGAGAGAGGGCTCAGCTCCTCGTGCTGGGTTCCACGAGAAGGCCAGCTACGCTGCACTCGTAAGGATTTGTACCGACTTTACTGAAGAAGGACCACAGGTGTTAGGGCCCAAGCGCCCATGCTCTTGCCCCCTCTTTATCTGCGTTTCCTCTTCCTAGCTGCTGGGATCATTTTTGCCTCTACAATAAATACTGGGATGATCTGGGTTTGGCAATTTTTACAAAATGCAATGCCCAGAAAAACCAAACTACTACACCATGGCTGTGTAAATGTCTATCTTTATAGGTAAAACACTATATCTGAATATGATCAGCTTAGGAAATCAACTAGAAAAGTTTACACAGCAAAAGAGAGTGTGTGTTAAAAATCAGACATGTATTGTCCTGGTAGGCAAAATATAAAGTCTAAATATGATAAGTAATTGACTTACATAGTATGTGACAATAAACATGAATTTTTTGTGATAACTTAAAACTATACTTTTTTTACTCCTTAGTAGAGTTAGTTACTATGGGCTAAAATAAAAAGGTAGCTAACCCAACAAAGGTCAAATATTAATATATATTAATCGGCAAGGTACATATCACAGTATTACTAGCCCATGCCTCCACAGGTGTCCAGTTATAAAAATGTGTTCGGTATACATCAAATATACATTAGCCAGTCCTCTCAGCATAGGCACAGTCTAATACAAAAATAGATTTGACACATGAATCAGAAGATCCACCTGAGAACCTATGAAACAGGAGAACGGAGGGAGGGAGGGAGGGATGACAACACCAAAAAGCAGCACACACAGATGCCAACAGTCCCCCACTTCCACGCGGTTCTCTTCACCAGCAAGGGGTCAAGAGCAGTTTACACCAAACCAAGGTAGCAGGCAGCTCGCAGTGCGTTCACCGGTGGGATGAGTCACAGCAGGCAGGCCGGCCTGCCGGCTTAGGAATTACCAGCTCAAAATGGACCTAGATTTCAGCCAGCTGCTCCTGGTACAATGGACTCACACTGTAGGGCTGTTATTTTGGGGTCTTCAGAATCTCTGTGTACCCACTGCCCCTGCTCTACAACGTGTGAACACAGGGTGCACCCTGGGGGCAATCTGAACTAAGCCTTGGGAGAGACTGTGGTGAAACAGAACTGTGTTTGGTAAAAGAAACCTACTGCAGGGTGTTAGCAAACGTGTCTATCCAGTGACGCTAGCTGAATACAAAATTATCTGAGTCCCTGAAATTTTCATGGGGAAATAAAAGTAATTTCTAAAAAGCAGTTACCGCAGAAATAAATCTGTAAAATTCAATATGCAGAAGACAATGTAATCCTTGGATATGGAGTAACGATTCCAACAATACTGGGGCTGGAAATCCAAGTAAGAATGAACTCTGAAGCCAGAACTTCATGATTGAAAATGCAGAAATACAGAAAAGTTGGCCACAGACTCTGTGGATTAAGAAGAAAACAATATGGCAACTGCTCTATTTTAAATACTCGCAATGGTCTTCCCTTCAGTCTAATGAAACCAGGAACCAGTTGTTTTGGAAACCAATTTTTCTCTTTAGCCAAATTCTCTCTTCTAGCCCTGTAGATGTTATTATTCACAGAATGTATGATAGCAATTTTGTGTCTTTGTTAGTATTTAAAATCCACACAGAATTCACATCAGGAAGTCAATGTGAATAGAACCTTGGAAACAGCCTACAAAAAGTGTGGTCAGGAACCGAGATGAGGAGACACAAAGATAGTATAACCAGAGTCAATAAGGAGTGACTTCTTGCTGTGCTACAGCAGCAGAAGTTGCTTACTGTGACACTGCCATCCCCAGCTCCCTGATAAGGCGCCTGAGAAAGCAGTGGGAGACAGCCCAAGTGCTTGGGTCCCTGTGGGGGACCAGGATGGAGTTCCAGGCTCCTGGCTTCAGCTGGCCCAATCCTGGCTGCTGCAGCCATATTGGGAGTAAAACTCTGCATGGAAGATGGATCTCTACCCACCTCCCCCATATTCTGCCTTTCAAATAAAAATAAATCTTACAAAAAATTATTTCCTCAAAACAAGATTCAATTTGCCAACACTCTAACTGCTTTCCTCATGTTTTATTTTGAAAAGAAATATTAAAATATTAACATCACATGAGATTGTGCTTTAGCCAAAAGCATGTAAATGATACTCTAAAACCTATCCTTTAGCTCAACAGAAATTAAAAAAAAAATGCAACCTTGAATGTGAGCCAAATTATGGCAAAGATCCTTAAACGTGACTGAGGTATTTAGAGTCCTCAAAACCACAGGTGTGCAGGACTGGCCTTAGAGGTAAATTAAAAGACCACAACAATCAGCAATGAAGTGTTTAAAAAATAACATTGAACTCCTTTTATAATCTCTGATAACCTCAGCTGGGCAGAAAATGATATCCAGCAATGCTTCACCATCAAACATTTCATGGCAAAAACCTTCGTTCATTTGAGAGTGACTTTTCCAAGTCATCTGTTAAAAGATTTCCAAAAGTTGGTCATTAGACAATTTTCACAAACAACAGGCAACCCCTAAAACATAAGTAACGTGTGTCTGTAGCTGAGGCTCTCCAATCACTAGCAAAACAGTTGGGTTTTCGGTTGTAACATTTTCTTCTATTACTTCCTGCATGGTTTGCTTTCAAAGGGAAAAGACAGTGTTTATCCTTTGGGAACATTTTGCAGAGGATCTAGAGATGAATCTTTGATGACACACGTCAGCTGAGAGTGTTTGTTCTTTTAATAAGGAAAACATGAAATTCTGAGTTAGTAACATGGTTGTTTTTTAATAATAAAAAAATCTTCAGTTGGCGGTCAGATCTGCTATCTAGTCGCTGGGAACAGAGGGACAGTGAATGGAGTCCATTCGCCTTCTGTGCCTGAGTTTTGCTGTCTGTGGGAGAGGGCTAGGACTAGCTGCGCTGCCTGATTCACAGGAATATTCTGAGGGTAAATTAAAACACTAGGAAGCGCTTTTATTTTTTTCAGAACACAATATAAATGCAATGTCACGATGCTGCTCATCTCTCAGGCACCTGTCACTGTCACCCTCGCGAGAGGGGCTTCAGGGAGGTGCCCCTGCAAGATCATAGGCAGGACGCTTAGTTTGATTTTATTTCAAAAAATAATAAGTCACAAAACTAAAATGCTTGAACAAGGTCACTTAACCTTCTCCCCGGGTGGCTATTATCCTCCTCTTCACCCTCGCCATGGCCACTTTTCAGCTAAATGTTTAAAAGAGGAGATGTTTAACATGTCAGCTTAACTGGGAAAATGTGTCCCTGGCACAGGTGACTCTCAGAAGAAAAGCCGATTTTCACATGAGCTTTGTCCTCTGCTTTTATTTTCAGGTGCGGGCCCGGGCGGGCAGGGACACAGCAGGCTCCCCGGGTCTGTCACTGAGGAACCAGTTCCCGAAGGGAGGCCAGGGCAGCGTGGATGCGGACGTGCAGTCTGTTCTCAAAGTCATAGCCGGAGAAATCTTCCTGCAAGGACAAAGACAGGGAGGGCTCTGTCAGCGAGGCTCGCACGGCGCTGCAGTGCAGTCCACAGCACCAGCTACCGGACAGCTCCAGGTCCCACTCCCCACACTCCCAGCAAAGGCTGCACGGCCACGTGGGTGTCTCACTCTCCAAACATCAGCCTTTTGCGTACATTTAGAAAATGCCAAGGGAGTGTCCGCAGTGCTGTCTTTGAACACGGCCCTCGTGTTGCTTTAGAATGAACAGCCTTCAGCTGTGCTGTTCCTGTTAGACGTTCTCAAGTCGAGACCCCAGCGGTGAAATCAAGAGTTATTTCCCCACCCTTAGAATGGCATACACCATTTCATGGAGTTTCTTACGATCCTGGAAAGTTCACGTAAAGTCAAGTGCTTGCTCGCTCACTTAGCCAGCACTTCTCCTTTCTAGAAATACCGGTGAGAACCTCCCAGACTCTAAAACTCAGACTCAGCTGGACACTGCACAGGGCAGCACAGGTCTCTGGAAAGAGGCGGAATCAGGGTTTTACCTTTGCTTGCAGAAGTAGAGTTCTGCCTCTTCCTACAGTCTATGAAGATAAGAAAAACATTATCTATTAGTCTCTACAATTATATAGGCACAAGCAGAAAATGTTCAAAAATGGTGTGCTAATTAAGACAATTCATGGTAGGCAAGAAAGCAAGTTTACTGCTCATTCAAGTAGAATGATTTGTTTTCTTTAATATATTAATTTTACATCATAGTTATTAAATTTAATATTTAATACCTATTAAATATTATTTTTACATTACTTGATAAATAATTTCTCATAATCTTATTAGTCTATAACAGGCAACAACTGAAGTATAATACCTTAGGTCAAAACCTTGCTATAACAACCTAAAATTAATGATTACCAAAAGTTGCATCTGAAGTTAGTAAATTATACCTCCTTTTGAAACATTATTAAGCGAGGAAGTCAACTTAATTTTAAAAAAATGTTGGGGTCCAGAATTGTGGTGTAGCCGGTTAAGCCTCTGCCTGCAACGCCGGCATCCCATATGGGCACTGGTTCTGGTCTCAGCTGCTCCACTTCTGACCCACCTCCTTGCTAATGATCCTGGGAAAGCAGTAGAAGATGGCCCAAGTCCTTGGGCTCCTGCACCCTCATGGGAGACCCGGAGGAGGCTCCGGGCTCCTGGCTTCGGCCTGACCCAGCCCCAGCTGTTGGGGCCGTTTGGGGAATGAACCAGTGGATGGCATATTCTCTTTCTCTGTCTCTCCTCCTTTCTTTGTAACTTGTCTTTCAAATAAATACAAAATAAATCTTTAAAAAAGTTGGCTAGTCTTATTATATTTTTTATGTATTATTACTGTTGCACCAAGAGTAAACTTCATTAAAATAAAGTATGGTGTCGGAATTTTCTATTCAAATTCATAAAACCTGTATTTTGTTTTGGTAAAATTTGACTTTCCAATTAAAAGCCCATCATCTTTGGCAAGTCAGGTTTCATATTTAGGGATTGGGCTAGAATAATATTTCTATTAATTTAGCTCAATGTTTGAAAAAATCTATATATTTAGAAGATGAATTAAATTCACTAAAAATTATAATTTTATAAAGCCAATACACGAATGAAGCTCACGTAAATGAGCTTCTAAAAGAAGGTTCCAAGTAAATTCAGACACAATTGAAACTCTAGTAAAACAAAAACAACTACCTCATTGTACCAACTTAAATATACACCTTAGTTACGCAGTCAAATTTGTATGGTATTCTAAATTTTAAAGTAATCATGCAAACATCGTCATTTATTCTCACTATAATCTTTGTTAAATGGCAAGGCAGTTTTTTTGTTTCTTTTGTTTACTCTTTTGATTTTCTTATTTTACTTATTTGAAGGCAGAAAGAGAAACAGAGAGAGAAAGAGGGAGCAAGCTCCCATCCATTGGTTCACTCCCCAGTTGCCCACAACAGCTAGAGCTGGGCCAGGCTGAAGCCATGAGCCTGGAATTGAATCTAGGTCTCCTCACAAATGGCAGGGATGCGGCCCCCATCTGTTGCACCCCAAGGTGCAGGTTAACAGGAAGCTGGAATCAGACTGGGGCACTCTGATGTGGGACATGGGCGTCCTAAGCAGCATCTTAACCATGAGGCCAGATACTTGCCCCAAGGCAGGTATTTTTTATCCTGTTTTACAAACTAAGAGGTATGCAGTGAAGTAACATACCCAGCGCCATACACTAAAACACTGCATTGTATCATACATTATGACAAAGGCAATGATTTTCCCAAAAATAAATCTTTGTCCAAAAAGTTACATGTATAATTCAAATCCTAGAGAAGAAATAAATTCCTCAAAGACAGTTAGATTAGGGGCCAGCTCTGTGGTGTAGCAGCTTGAGCCTCTGCCTGTAAAGCTGGCATCCCGTATGGGGACTGGTTCAATTCCCAGCTGCTCCACTTCTAATCCAGCTCCCTGCTAATGGCCTGAGAAAGCAATGGAGGATGCCCCAAGTGCTGGGGCCCCTTCATCCATGTGGGAGACCCAGAAAAAGCCTCTGGCTCCTGGCTTCGGTCTGGTCCAGCTCTGGCCATTGCAGCCATTTGGGGGATCCCTCTCTGTCTCTCCCTCTGTCTGCCTGTAACTCCGCTTCTCAAATAAGTAAATTAAAAAAAGACAGTAAGATTAGGATTATGAATTTTTGGATTCATCCAAGAAGTGGATCAATAAAGAACATGTGTTCAATTTATTTTAAATAAAGGGTGCTTAGTGACTGCTCATTTGTTTGCTCATGAACATTAAAAAATGTGGGGTGGCACTGTGGTGCAGCAAGTGGGGCTGCTGATTGTGATGCCTATGTCCCGTAGGGAAGTGCTGGTTCAAGCCCTTCTCCTCTGCTTCCAATCCAGTTTCCTGCTAATGTACCTGGGAAGGCAGCACATGGCAGCCAGGTACTTGGGCCCTTTCTCTCACATGGGAGACCTAGATGGAGTTCCAGGCTCTGGCTGTCATGGGCACTTGGAGAATGAACCAGAGGATGGAAGATCTCTTTACCTCTTTTGGTGCCTCCCTCTCTGTCACTCTACCTTCAAATAAATACATAAATGTTTAAAGAGTGTGTGTGTGTGATCTTACCTCTGGCCTGTCCAGCAGAAGACAGCCAAGTTCATAGCAAGCATATGGCTGAACATACAAGTTATTCTGACGACACACTTCATCTTTGACAGCTCTCTGAAAGAACTAAAGAAATACAAATGTGATTGGAATGATTGATTTTCCTGCTTAGCCCAGGGCTCACCACATGTTCAGGAGGCAGGAAGGGAGACCCACGTTTCTTTTCTCCAGACCATCTTCATTCCTCCCCATCCACCCCCATCCATAATTCAGAAGCCTCCTCTAGGACCACTCATCCATCAGTCGGTCCCATTTGTGTTACTTATTTTCCCAGCTGGCACATCAACCTCCACTGATCCTACTGCAGAAAATACACTTTATCTGCATCTAAAAGTCTACACATCCCTATTTTCGTGTTTAACACAGAAAACACACAAGCCAAGACCTCTTAACACGTGTCTTGATTGCATCTCACTAGTACTTAAGCTTGTGATCTAAAATAAGCTATCTAGGGCTGTGTAATAACTAGAACACCACACTGACAGATTAATTTAAAATTATAATACAAGTACATTAACGTAGCTTTTAAAGCCAAAAATCTTCTATTTCTACACATGAACTCAAAGAGAAGTCAACGTACTACTGCTACACATAAAACTTGGCTGGAAAAATCCCTCCAAGTGTATTTGAAAATAATTCATGGTTCTTCGTCATGTTCTGTGCACAGAGACTCATCCTATGCCAGCAACCTTCTAAACCTCACCACACTCTGCACCAGTAACCCGCAGCGATAAGGAGAGGAGAAGCCACCATATCGATGTGACTGGTTGCTTTTGGTTTGGTCTGACTACAAGGCTTCCCTGGGATCCTCCTGATGTGTTTGCCTCCTCAATTTCTCTCCTGAGACTGTTGTCTTGGATAAACAGGAGCAGAAAGGAAGGCCACCTATAAAGAGGCAGTCTCCAAGGTGGAAGCTGCATTCAAAACAACTATTACCATCATCACCTCCCAGCAGCTGAAGGGATGGTGTTCTCCAAATACAGTGGGTAAAGCTCACAGGGCCATGGGAAGTCTGGCCCTGTACTTTTTTATTCTCGAGCACAGACACAGGGGCTCCCGATCTCTCTACGTAAGTCATGACCACATTTGCACTTTACCTGAAGAGCATCTTCTGAGTTTCCTAGACACTTGTGTATGGCACCGAGCAGCAAATACTTTAATCCAACCACAGATGAATCATCCACTTCATGGCAAGCTTCAAGAGAAAGGGAGCGAAAACAGCAGGGAGGAAACACAGTCATTCAGGAATTTCCTTTAATGCCACCCACAGCAAAGTGAGTGCTTCATTGTATGGCTGCTTATTTGGTTCATGTTTCTGTCCCCAAAACTCAGAATGCACCTGTTCTCTATCCACTAGTGAGTAGCAGCCTTGGCCAAGGAGACAAAAAATGTCAAACTCCACACAGCCAAGAAGACTCAAAATCATAGCCTATTTGTACTAAGTGAAGAAGAAATCCTGAAGAAGCCACATAGTCTATGATTCCAAATAAATGACATTCTGGGGGCCAGTGCTGTGGCATAGTGGGTAAAGTTGCCACCTACAGTGCAAGTATCCCATATAGGTGCCAATTCAAGTTTCTTCTGCTCCACTTCCAATTCATCTCTTTGCTGTGGCCTGGGAAAGCAGTGGAAGATGACCTGAGTCCTTGGGCCCCTGCACTCACATGGGAGACCCAGAAGAAGCTCCTGGCTCCTGGCTTCAGATCAGCACAGCTCCGGTCGTTGCAGCCAACTGGGGAGTGAACCAGCGGATGGAAGACCTTTCTCTCTGTCTCTCTGTCTCTCTGTCTCTCTCTCTCTGCCTCTTCTTTCTCTGTGTAACTCTGACTTTCAAATAAATAAATCTTTTAAATAAATAAACAAATGACATTCTGGAAAAAGGCAAACTGTGGACACAATAAAAACCCAGTAGTTACCAGGACACAGAAGAGGCAGGGCCGAGTAGGTGGAATACAGCTGGTTTAAGAGCAATGCAAACCCACTGTTCTCACTACACTGGTGGACACCTGCCTTTCAGCATTTCCCTGCACCCACAGAACACACAACAGCAACAGTGCACCCCAGTGTGAGCTGCGGACTTTGGGGGATTCGGTCACGCCAGTGCTGGCTCACTGACTGTAACAAAGGCTCCCCTGAGGCGAGCCTGGTAAAGAGGCCAGGGGAGCAAGACGACTATGCAGGGACTCTGGACTTTCTGCTCAACTTCACTACAAACCTAAAACTGTTCCCATTGTGGCGCAGCGGGTAGAGTCACCACCCGTGATGCCGGCATCCCATACGGGCACCAGTTTTGAGTCCCGGCTGCTCCACTTCTGATCTAGCTCCCTGCTAATGCACCTAAGAAAACAGAGGAAGATTGCCCAAGTGCTTGGGCCCCTACACCCATGTGAGAGACCTGGAATAAGCTCCTGGCTCGTGGCTGTGATCTGGTCCAATTCCGGCTGTTGCAGCTATTTGGGGAGTGAACCAGCAGATGGAAGATCTCTCTGTCTCTCCCTCTCTCTCTGTAATTCTGCCTTTCAAATAAAATAAATAAATACGAAAAAAAGAGAAAGAACTCAAGAGATCTTAAGGCAGCAAAGTCAAGGAAATGCTAACATAATACATTAACTTGCTCATTCATTCATTCATTCATTCGAGGGGTAGCTACTGTTTCTTCCAGCAGATGGAAGACCTCTTAAAATACCACGGTGACAACACAAACAAAAATTCCTATCCTTACAACGGACCAGAATAGACATTTCTGCAAAAGAGACATGCAAATGGCCAGTGGGTGTATGAAAATATGCCCACAATTAATCACTAATCATCAGGAGAGAAGAAATCAGAACCACAAGGGACTGCCATCTCACCTCTGTTAGGATGGCTGCTATTAAACAGCAGTAGGGCATGTGGGAAAAGGAAACGGGAACCCTTGGGCACTGTCAGGGGGAATGCAAGATGGCGGAGCTGCTACGGAAAACAGGACAAAGGTTCCTCAGAGCATGAGAAATCCCACAGAACTGAGCAATCTCACTTCTGGGTATCTATCCCAAAGAATGGAAATCGGGATCTGAAAAACATATTTGCATGCTCAAGTTGGAAACAAATGAAATGTCTATGAGCAGGGCAGAGCTGTGGCGTGGCAGGTGAGGCCACCACCTGCAGTGCCAGCATCCCATATGGGCGCCAGTTCGAGTCCCGGCTGCTCCTCTTCCAATCCAGCTCCCTGCTAATGTGCCTGGGAAAGCAACAGATGATGGCCCAAGACCTGGGCTACTGCACCAATGGGGGAGATGAGAGGAAGCTCCTGGCTCCTGCCTTCAGATTGGCTTAGCTCTGAACGCTGTGGCCATTTGGAGAGTGAACCAGTGGATGGAAGACCTTTCTCTCTCTTCCTCTGCCTCTGTATAACTCTGCCTTTCAAATAAATAAATAAATCTTTAAAAAAAATCTTATCAGCAGATGAATGGGTGAAGAAAATATAGCACAGACTACAAAAGAATTGTATGCAGCCTTAAGACAGAAGGAATTGCTGTCAGATGCAGCAACCTGGGCGAACTGTGAGAGCATTGGGCCAAGTGAAAAAGCCAGGGTCAGAGACCAAACACCACATCAGTCCCCCTAGATGAGGCCCCCCAGGCGTGAAACTCTCAGGCGTGCGAAGCAGGATGGGGGCTGCCAGGGGCTTGGGGATGGGAAGTGGTTGCTGTTCATGTGTCTGAGGTTTCAGTTATACAAAATGAAACTGTTCCAGAGACCCGCTACACAGCACCAAGCTGATGCCCAATAATAAAGTTACTTTAAGGATGGTAAGTGAGCGTGACGTGCTTAGGGGGAATCTGCTGAAATCCATCGAGATGTTTAGAGAGCACGTTCTTTAAATGCAGAAGTCCCACATACAGGGAATTGTCCCACAGGTAATACGGGCTCACAGGTGCAAAGGTATTTGTGTAAACAGTCACTGAATCATCTGGTTTTAAGTATTTGCCCAGCAAAGTGAAAGGAATTACATACAACTATAGCATTAATGATTCTGCGACTATTTGCGAATTTATTTTATGTGAGGAAAACTGAACATCTTTTTATTTGATTATTATTTCAAGCCCTTGCCTATTTCCCTGCTAGACTATGGTCTTTTGACTTTTTATTTGTTGAACTCTTTATTTAGTAGAGTCATTATGCCTTTGACTGTAATGTAAATTAAAAATATGTGATCTCAAAAAATAAGCTATTAAGTAAAAAAAAAAAAGCAATAGTCCATTGAAGTGCACAAGATTGGAGACAGCCTGTGTGCACACCAGCAGGGGACTAGTTACAGAAACGATCATTATTCCTACTTGGGAATACTACCACGACACTCAGAAGGCATGAGGTCAATCTACATGTTGATATTAGATAATATCCAAAATCTTCCTAAGTGACAGGAACACAGGCAGGAGAGAAGGGAGAGGATGCTGCTGTCTCAGGCTCCACGCAGACTCACCCATGCGCAGGCACACCCTTGTCCAGGGAAATGTGTGGCACATGCCCAGAAGGCCACTCCGAAACTCCTGAGCTGTGAGTGTCTTTTGGGAGGAGACCGCATGCCTGAGATGGAAGAGATGCTAACATTTTGCTTTCTCCATACGCCTTTGAGTAGTCTGGATATTTTCACAAATTTGTGAATTACTTAGCAAATAAGAACACTAAGATCCTAAAAATTAAAAAAAAAAAATGTATGCCAGGAAAAAACATTTCTGTCCTGAAGAAGCTTATATATTTGGGTGGGGATATAGGGGGAGACACTGCATGAAAGGTAAACAGATAAAATATGTCACATGAGGGTAAGTGCTAAGGGGGAAAATAAAGCCAGGCAGGGGAATCGGAAGTGGGAATGCAGTTCAAGCTTCATGGCTAAGATCACAGTGGCGTAAACACTGGGGACAATGCGGGAAGGAACTGTGTGAACGTTATTTGGGGCTGAGAGAAGAGCAAGCGCAAAGGCACGGAGGCCAGCACTGCTGGTTGTGTTCATGAATGGAAGAAGGAGTGTGGCTGCAGAGCAGAGAAGCAACTGCCTGGTAAGGTTCCAGACTGTGGGGTACTGCCAGCCACTGAATGCCCTCGGGCTTTTACTATGAGATGAGAGACAGAAGAGTTCTGAGAAGCAGAGTGACATCATATGACTTGGGTTTTAATAGGACCCCGGTGGCTGCAGTGCTGAGAAAACAGACATAGCTTGGAAACACAGAGTAAGAATGCAGAGAGAGGGAGGCGCAGGGCAGCATGGGAGTGGAACCACGAGCCGGGGGGCGTGGAGACATGACGCGCTCTGCTAGCAGCGAGTTACGGGGGAGACTCTGGTCAGCTACATGCACAAAACCAGAGGGCTTGAAGGAGAGCCCCACACAGATGCTTAGGAGCCACACTCTGCTGTCGGCCTTTCCAGGAACCCAGCAGCTTCTCTGCCAAGGTCTTCGCCAGGCCCTGTACAGCTGGGTGGATCTGGGTCATCACTGCTCCACACCGGGGGATGAGAGAATCCAAGAATCTCAGAGTCGGGCTCTGATGTTGAGGAATGTTCTCATCTTCACTTCAGCGACAGTCTCCCTCCCCGTGGGCCTATCTTTGTTGCTAATTTGTTAATTCTGATACCTGCAAAAGGACTCAGAGACTATTTAGTCCGATCTCACGTAAGTGACAGCCATTCTCGTGCCTGTCAATCGTGCCTAGCTTACATTTGCTCCTGTGTTTTAAATATCTCTAAATACACGAGTCTACACTCGTGCATTAAAGACTACCTCAGATCCTTCCTTGCTCCTGCAGTTGCCTTAGCAGGGCCTGACCCCTGCAAGAAATAGTAAGTTATTTCTTTAATACCCCACAATGCCTGGCTCATTTAAAGATTTCATTTATGGGGCCGGCGCTGTGGTGTAGAGGGGAAAGCTGCTGCCTGCAGTGCCGACATCCCATATGGGAACCAGTTCGAGTCCCTACGGCCGCACTTCTGATTCAACTCTCTGCTTTGGCCTGGGAAAGCAGTAGATGAAGTGCTTGGGCCCCTGAACCTATGTGGGAGACCTGGAAGAAGCTCCTGGCTCCTGGCTTCAGATCGGTGCAGCTCCAGCCATTGTGGCCAATTGGGGAGTGAACCATTGGATGGAAGACACCTCTCTCTCTCTCTCTCTGCCTCTCTTCTCTCTGTGTAACTCTTTCAAGTAAATAAATAAATCTTTAAAAAAAAAAGAGTAACTTTATCAGGGTTGCCTATGGTCTTACAGTTTTCCTAATACATAAATGAAAAGTGTATACTTTCAGTTACGCTCCTGGACATTTACCCAAGAGAAGCGAGCACATAACTATACAAAAGAGCCATTAACCTAGGTTGTGCACTTTTGTTTGTAGCAGTTTTACTCAAGGAAGCTGAAAAACCAAAAACCAAACCAAAACCCCAAATGCCTATCACCCAGAAAATGAGTAAACAAGCTGAGGTCTAGGCATAGCCATATAGTGGTGCACTACTCAGCCAGGACAAGACATGGACGATTGATGCAGGCTGCAACATGGACAAACCTTATGAACACTCTGCAGAACAAGTGAAGCCATGAATCGAAACATACGCCTGATATATTTCCATTTACAGCAAGTTCAAGTTCACAAAGGTCAGAACTGTGCTTGCCCTCGGGTGCGGAGTGAGGAGGAGCCCAAGGAACGTGTCAGGGTGGGTGATGGGAATGTATTATCTTCCGACTGTTGTAAGGGATGCCCCGGTGTGCATATTGGTCCGCACTCACTGGCCTAGAGATACTCTTTACTATCTGTGCTTTTTGTGTGTGTGTGAATCACACCTGCATGAAACACAATGATGGCCCTGGGGATAAAACATACGCTCACAGCGACACCTGTGGCCAGAGGGTGCGGAACACTTCTGGTGACAGCAGCACCCTGGACTCCAACTATGACAAGAGGATCTGCAGGTACGCGCACCTGCTGCTCTGATAACCCAAGTGATGGGAGTTTCTTCCTCTACAGCTTGAATCCAAGAGCGACAGACTGGTCCCGCCTGGCTCAGAAGACAGCGTGACCGCAGGAAGCGGTGCGGGCACGGCTGGCTGGTGTGCCCCCCCCTTACCTTGACTCATCCTCTGCAGGTTGGGGAGGGAACAGTTGGGAAGGGCCTTCCACAGGTACAGCACCTCAATGGACGCCAACACACACAGCGCTTGGGTTGGGGTTTGCTTCCGAAATCGCTCTGCCTGCGAGTAGGAAAAGATTCGGCTGTGTTTTTCCAAAACAAATTCAACTTAAACATGCTTCTAGGACATTTAAAAGCACACGATTCGCATTCAGGATGGATGGCGGCTCCTTTCCTAGCCTCTCCCTCCCCCTCCCCCGTCCTGCTCCCTCCCTCTGGTTGACACCCTTGGTGCCAAACCAGACCCTTCCAGATTCCTTGCAAAGCAACTGGCAGACAGACAAGCTACACGGGGCAGCTTGTGAAATAGGTAAGATGAAAGTCCCCACAGGCTTCAAAGAGCCCCCTACCCTCCCACCAGCTGCCTTCTAACAACCCCCACATACACACACTGGCAAATTCCCTCCTTAACCAGATGAAAACTCAGCTCTAAACACGCCCTCTGCGATGTCTCTTAGGAGACTGTCGCCAACCTCTTTGCTTGATTTGAAGCAAAGACCTCTGCTGAGGTCGGTCTCTGTCTCCTTTTTCCGTCTCTCCCTTCTGGGGGTACAAAAGGCCAGAACCCCGAGCTATTGCAAACCTAACCTAACACCTACAAGGGCGAAAATGACCACGTCTCTCCATTGAACAACTTTTCCTGTCTGAGTTCTACGACATCAGGACACTTGCCTCCTGTGCCTCACTCAACCCCATCTCCTATCGAGAACTGGCATATAGGGATTCTGAAAACTTAGGCATGAAATGAGTTTTATTTTAGTTTAAATCAATGAATTCAGAAGGCTGGGTTATAAGGATGGGGCTCAATGAGCTTTTATGGGGGATGTAAGACAAGACGCCTTGTAGTCACGGTCCCAAGGACTTTTTGGTTTTCTACTTGGTCCTAGTGCTGTCACTTGCCTTCTGTATGAGAGTCTAATTTACACTCAAACAAATTCAGTAAATGTTCAGTAAAAACTTAGAAAACCTAAAGAATGGCAAATTCAAAGTAGGAGAGAGGTCATAAAACAGGTTCTGCTGCAAAATTTGATTATGGGAGGCTAAAAAGCGAAAATGCGATGCTATCCCTCTAGCCCCGGGCCTTCCAGCAGGGCTCCGAGACCGGACCAACCCACTCCGCTCCCACAGGGCGCCAGCCTCGGTCCCTGGAAAGCGCGTGCGCCCTGCGGCCTCTGCGCTGTGCGCACTCCAGGGACCAGAAGCGAAGGCGCATGCGCCCTGCGGTGTCTGCCCCGCGTGCGCTCACAGGAACAGGAAATGCGCTTGGATGATTTGCGGCCAAGCCCGTGCTGCTCCCCACCGCGGCTGACTGCACGGGGCACAGCCGAGGAGTTCGGGCCACAGACCTCGAGGCCAGCGGGGCCCCCAACCTACCTTCTTCACTGAGAACTGTTCAATCTGGTTGTTTTTCCTCTTGAAGAGTTTCTGAACTTCTTTAAAAACGGCCTGTGCGCCGTCCACGTCACCGCTGGCTCCCTGGCACACTGTAAGAAACCATGGTCTGAGCTGTAGACTGCCGGCAGGGTTGGTACCACTGGGGGATGCCGAGGGGCATCATACTGGGAACCGTTTCCAAGCACAAAACCAGAGCCAGTGCCTGGCGACTGCCACACCAGGGGCCGCTCGGCCCTCCGGCTGTCACCGCCCATCCCCATCTCCCAGGGGCCTGTGTTCCGGAGCTGGGGTGGGGTGGGTCACAGGGAAAGCCAGCTCTCCTCCTGTTGGAACAGGTTTTTTTTGTTTTTTTTTTTTTTAAGATTTATTTATTTATTTATTTGAAAGAGAGAGACAGAGAAAGAGGTCTTCCATCCACAGATTCACTCTTCAGAAGGCTGTAGTGGCCAGGGCTGGGCCATGTGGGTGCAGGGGCCCAAGTATCTGGGCCATCCTCTGCTGCTTTCCCAGGATCATTAACAGGGAGTTGTATCGGAAGTGGACCAGCTGGAACTCGAACCAGCACCCGTATGGGATGCCTGAGCTGCAGGTGGCGGCTTTACCCGCTCCGCTACAGCGCCAGCCCGGGAGACATAGTCTTGTATGTAACAAAAGGCTGGCCGATGCCACAGCTCAATAGGCTAATCGTCTGCCTGCGGCGCTGGCACCCCGGGTTGTAGTCCTGGTCGGGGCGCTGGATTCTGTCCCGGTTGCTCCTTTTCCAGTCCAACTCTCTGCTGTGGCCTGGGAGTGCAGTGGAGGATGGCCCAAGTGCTTGGGCCCTGCACCTACATGGGAGACCTGGAGAAGCACCTGGCTCCTGGCTTCGGATCAGCGCAGCACTCTGGCCATAGCAGCCATTGGGGGGTAAACCAACTGAAAAAAAGGAAGACTGCCTCTCTCTCACTGTTCACTGTCCACTCTGCCTGTCAAAAAAAAAAAAAAAAAAAAAAAAAAAAAAGAAAAGAAAAGAAAAGAAAAGAAAGGCACCGCTACTGCCATAGTGCACAACCTCCTTGGCGTCTACATGGGCAGGGAGTGGAGATAAAAGGAATCTGGGAAAGAACAGTGAGCAGATAAGGGGTTTAGGAAGACTTCCTGGCAGGAGAGGGAATCCCTGTCCTGGAACAAAAGTTACAGAGACACACAAAGGCCTGCACCCTGTAGACCCTGAGTTCCATAGGCCTGCACCCTGTAGACCCTGAGTTCCAGTTGGAACGATTCTCTCTCTCTCTCTCTCTCTCTCTCTCTCACACACACACACACACACACACACACACGTTTATTCTGATGTAAAAAGGGCTGAAATACATAGGAGGGGCCTTCGCTGCCCTGCAGTGCTGACATCCCATATGGGTGCCGGTTCAAGTCCCGGCTGCTCCACTTCCATTCCAGCTTTCTGCTGTGGCCTGGGAAAGCAGTGGAAGATGGCCCCAGTCCTTGGGCCCCTGTGCCCACATGGGAGACCTGGAAGAAGCTCCTGGCTCCTGGCTTTGGATCAGTGCAGTTTCAGCCGTTGCAGCCATTTGGGGAGTGAACCAGCGGATGGGAGACCTCCCCCCGTCTCTCTCCTGTCTCCTGTCTCCTCTCTCCTCTCTGCCTCTCTATAACTCTGCCTTTCAAATAAATAAATAAAATTTTTTAAAATATGCATGCATTTCAAAAATGTAAATGTATATAATTCCCTTTTCCACACACTGTTGAAGTGCCCTTATGTGCGGTGATAGGAGAAGTTAGGGGAGAAAACCAAAGTGCTTTGGGAAAGACCCAGAAAGAAAAGGGGTCCTTTCTGTCCGGAGTGATGCGGGAGCTATGAAGGAAGGGTGTGACTCGTCTGTCCCATTGCACCTGCAGCCCACCCCAGGGCCCTGGCAAAGACGTCATCATAGCCCCTTCGCTCCACCTGCATCCCACCCCCTCCAGTCTTCACATTGGGGTCAGTCCCAGCCCCTCAGCCAGTCTTTACCACCACCCTGTCATCCTCCTCTCACCTCCTAGGCCACCAAATCCCATCCCGTGCATTTTTGCTGAGACACTGTCTTAGCTGCATGCTGTTTTTGGAACAGACTAAACAGATTTGATAACAGATAATTCCAATGGGATTTCAAGCTTACAGAAAAGGGGCAAGAATAGTACAAGGATTGATGCAGCAACTCCCCTCCTGGGCATATACCCCTAGGAAGCGAAAGCAAGGACTCGGGCACCAGGGTTCGTAGCAAGTATCACACTCTCTGGAGTGAAAAGGTGGAAGTAACCCCCGTGTCCATCGCTGGATGGATGCATAAACAAAACATGGACCCCACACGTAGCAGCAGAAGTTAACACGTGCAGTAATGTGGGTGCACCTAGCAGACACTGTGCTATGTGACATAAGCCGGACACACGAGGGCAGATGTGCCCCATTCATATGAGGCATGAAGAATAATCAAATTCACAGAGACAGAAAGAAGAATGGCAGCCAGGAGCTGCAGGGGAGGGAAAGCAGTGTTCTTGTTGGATGGGTTTTGCATGTCATTCAGTTGGTGAGTATTTTCTGGAGATGGATGTGGTGAGGGTCGCATGATACCACACACGAATGTAACCTCACTAAATGGCTCACTTAAAAATGCCTACGAGGGTCCATTTGATTTATATTTTATTACATGTTATTTAGCTCTTATATGTTATTTATATTTTGCCACAATAAAAAAGACAGGGCTGGGAGCCAAGTCCCCATGGCAGCACGCTGGCCCCTGAATGCCTGTGCTCTCCAGCTCTGCCTGCAAGAAGCCAGCTGGGCAGAAGCACCCTTGCTGCCTTGGGCACCCTCCACAGCGGGGCTCTCCACACTTGTACTATCTTGCCAGCAAAACCCCTCGGACAGACACATCCAAACCGGCCCTGCCCATCACCCACAGCCAGCACAGCGCCGGGACTGCCACAGCGTGGGGAGACAAATGCTCCTCTTCACAGCCACATGTGCTCTGTGTCTTCCGCACTCAACAGACAGGAAATAGCACCCCCCCACCCCCCACCCCATGGACAACGTGGCGCAAATACATGTGATGACCACTAGGTGGCGTGCGGGCCTCTGCTTCCTACGCTATGCAAAGCAACTTCCCCTACTCTTCAGCGTTGGGCACACGGAGGTGGCCCAATGCACTGCTGCTGCTTTTATGGGCGATGCCTGCAAATTCAGTACAGCAGCCCTTTAAGGTTAGACACAGTATACTGACAAGGACACCCAAAGTAAGATTACTCCATGCACACAGCACTGTAAGAAAAGACACACACCACACCACAAGGAGAGCAGACACGGTGGCTTTTCATAGCCACTGTTCGTGGACTCATGCGATCTTTATAGAGAGTTTCAGACATGGAGGATATACAGATTGGCCACTGTTAATTCTTACTTTTTCTTTTTAAAAAAGATTGTTATTTTATTTTTAAAGGCAGAGTTACAGAGGTTCACTCCTCAAATGGTTACAACAGCTGGGCCGGACTGAAGCCAAGAGGCTGGAATTTCATCTGGGTCTCCCGTGTGGGTGCAAAGTACTTGGACCATCTTTCACTGCTTTCCCAGGCCGTTAGCAGGGAGCTGGATAGGAAATGGAGCAGTTGGACTCTACTTGGCACACATATGGGATGCTAGTGTTGCAGGCCACAGCTTAACCCACTGTATCACAATACTTTTAAATAGAGCAGATCTGTAGATAGAATGAAAGGGGAAGATGTTTCCTCAAATTGAAACATTTAGAAGAACAGGAAGCATTTAAAATAGTGTTTGGTTAGTCTGAATTTTAAATAACACGGTTACTATGTGGCTTCATAAGGAAGGTTCCTCTCTATACAAACTTGCAAAGGTTTATATAAAGTTGCTTCAAGGCAGGAAATGTGCAGCCACTTGGTTTCTTCAATCCACTCCTCCACAATTGGAAACCAAGGGGAATAGTTAATATCTCAAGGACAGACAACCCTTCTTTCCACCAGGTGGCAGCATGTCTTCAACTATCATACAAGGTGTAAGGCAGAAACACTCCCATTGAAAACACAGGGCCAGTGCTGTGGCATAGCAGGTAAACCTGCGGCCTCCCCTAGGGCACCAGTTTAAGTCCCTGCTGCTCCACTTCTTTTTTTATTTTATTTTATTTTATTTTATTTTTATTTTTATTTTTTGACAGGGAGAGTGGACAGTGAGAGAGAGAGACAGAGAGAAAGGTCTTCCTTTGCCGTTGGTTCACCCTCCAATGGCCGCCGCAGCTGGCGCATTGCAGCCGGCGCACGGTGCTGATCCGATGGCAGGAGCCAGGTACTTATCCTGGTCTCTCATGGGGTGCAGGTCCCAAGCACTTGGGCCATCCTCCACTGCACTCCCTGGCCACAGCAGAGAGCTGGCCTGGACTAGAACCCGGTGTGCCGGCGCCGCAAAGCGGAGGATTAGCCTAGTGCCTGCTGCTCCACTTCTGACCCAGCTCTCTGCTATGGCGAGGGAAAGCAGCAGAAGGTTGTCCAAGTGCTTGGGACCCTGCACCCACATGGGAGACCCAGAAGAAGCTCCTGGCTCCTGGCTTCAGACCGGCCCAACTCTGGCCGTTGTGGCCATCTGGGGAGTGAACCAGCGGATGGAAGATTTCAATCTCTCTCTCTCTCCCCCTCCCCTTCTCCCTCTAACTCTGCCTTTCAAATAAATTATTAAAAAAAAATAGACATTACAGATGTTTGGCTGTGATGCTGCACAGTGTTGAAAGACCTGGCACTGTCCTACACCATCACACTGTACTGTGGATGAACAGGCAAAACAGGGTTGGAACACAGGACTCAACGCACGAGCTACTTTGTAACCAGGCACCACCAGCGAACATACTAACACAGTGAAAAAGACATGTTTGAGAACATCCTTAAAATTCCTAACACAGCAAAGAAAGGGGTGGAGAAGGGCAGGCTGAGGGTGGTTAGGACAAGATGGACAAAACTGGAGCAGCGTCATAAGAAGCATTTCCGAGACGCTGTGCAGGACGAAGCCTGGCTCGGGGCACCAGGCACAGGACTGGAGTTCTCAATGAACACAGGATCCTGCTGCCATTTACTTGGTCGCACAAAATGTCACTGTGCTAGGGAGAATGGTGGAGCACAACGCCCTCCCCCCCTCCTCCCCACATCCACCACCAGCCTGGGAGGTAACTCACAGGGGGCGGGGCCATGCTGTGAGACCAGTCCACTCACCTGCTGTCAAATAGGCGTAATAGCACTGCGACCACCGGGACTCGTTTTTCAGCCGCTCGAAGGAATCGAACGCATCCTTGAAGTTGAGCTCGATCATGCTGCACCACCCTGTGAGAGAAACCCCGTTAGCCCATACCCGGGAGTCACGGCCCACCTGGACCCCGAGTCTCTCAACGGCTCACTGCCTTCCTCTGGGAGCGCTCTAGGACGTGCTCTGCAACACTCAGCTTTAGAGGATTTTCTCTTGAATGTGTCCTGGGTAAAGTCTGGGCAAGACCAGGCACTTCCGATGTCACGACCTCTTGGGGAGTGGAGACGAGCACGGCACAGATTTCTAGAAGGACACTCGAGTGAGTCTCATCTGTGTGAGTCACCCAAGCCCAGGGAGGTACAGGCAGCCGGGGGAGCAAGGGCTTCCTGGACTCACCTGAGGGTGAATTATTAGCACGCATTCTCAGACCTCTGTGAGAAGCATGCAAGCCCATCTTCTCTACATTGGGGGACCCTATCTTTCTTGGATCGAAACACTGTGGGACTGGCATTCTGGCACGGAACACTTTATTTCCTTTGTACATTTAAGAAATACATATTTATTCATTGAGAGGGACAAAGACAGACAGCCATTGAGAGAGAGAGAGAGGAAGAGGGAGAAGGAGAGAGGTTCCATCTGCTGATTTTCCTTGGCGCTCAATCCAGGTCTCCCGTGTACATAGCGGGAACCAAGGGGTTGAGCCATCACTACTGCCTCCCAGGGACTGCATTCGCAGACACTGGAGTCAGAAACTGGGTATTACAGGAATCGAACCCAGATATTCCAATGTGGGACACAGCATCCTAGCCAGCCTCTCAACTGCCAGCCAAATGCCTGCCCCATTCCCATTGCTAAGCAGCATCTCAGAACAATTGAGCCCTATTGTGTAGCAAACACTGACAGAATTCTGCCTGCTCCTGTTTTGCGAAAGGGGCTGACAGCAGTCTCACTTTAACAAGGAGAAAACTGGAGGCTGAGCACTCAAAGCCACACGGTTCATCAGAGGGAAGCTCTGGAGACCAAGATCTGACACCCTTTTCTTTACACAATATTGCCTCCATAAAAGAAATTTCTGGAATCACTAAGTAGCTGTGTGACCTTGGGTTTGCCACTATGGGAAGTGGGTGCACACACTTATAAGGCACAAATCCTACAGGGAAGATGATACTTACATATTTTAAGAGTACTAATTTGAGCTGTTGTCACCCTATAACAGCTACCAGGGCAAGATCTGACTTAAGTACAAAAGAGAGGCAGAAAATGAGGCCTGGGTATCACTCACCTCCTGAGTTCCTCTCCCCAAGGCCTGGGCTAGCTCACCGCTAAGCTTCCTTTGGCTCTAACATTCTAACTTCAACTCTAACATAGACCTTGAAATGATACACAGGAAAGGCCACCAAGCTAGGCTTTCTTCTATTAAAATTTTTTATTTGAAAGGTAGAGAGAGACAGAAAGACAGTGTGGTTTCCCATTTGTTAGTTCCTTTTCCAAATGCCCATGACAGCCAGGGCTGGGCCAGTAAAAAAGCCAGGGGTCGGGGACTCAATCTGGTCTCTCACATGGGTGGCAGGGACCCAGGCGCTTGAGCCTGCACCTGCCCCCTCCCAGGCTGCACATTAGTAGGAAGCTGGGATCAGAAGTGAAGCTGGGACTCAGACTCCACTTTGATGCGGGATGTGGGAGTTCTAAGGGGTGTCTTAACTAACCACTGTACCAAACAGGCACCCCAAAAGCTAGGCTCGAAACATCCTGAACTCTACATATGGCTACTACACAGAGCTCCTGCAGAGTTGAGGTTGCATAAAGATTTATTTTTCATGGCATTATACTTTATCTGCTCTTCCCTAAACTATAAACAGGCATTTAAAATGGATTTTTTTGTAATATTATTACTGTCCAATCCCCAATCTTGTGCTTTGCATATTTTTAAAAGGATTCAGGAAAACAATTATGTCCGCAGCAGGTGAACATGTGGCAGGGGTCACAGGCCAAGAACCGAGAGGTGTCCATTGCTTCCAAGCATTCGTTGTTTACCCTTCCCTGCCCCTCGGCAGACAGCTTTTGGAGTTCCAATTTCCCTTCAGATTCCTGAAGGGAATCATTTCTCCTTTATCCATTCCTTTTTCACTCCTTATGTGCTATGTGATGTAACTTTGTAGTATTGTAGCTAAGCTGAAACTATAAAGTACCAGGCCTTTGTTTAAAAAAAAAAAATGTAGGGGCGGAGGTTTGTGTTGTGGCACAAAGCCATTGCCTGGGATACCAGCATCCCATATGAGCACTGGTTGGAGTCCTGGCTGCTCTGCTTCCAATCCAGCTTCCTCCTAATGTACCTGGGAAGGCAGTGGAAGACGGCCCAAGTGCTTGTGTCTCTGCTACCTATGTGGGAGCCAGGGATGGAGTCCCAGGCTCCTGGCTTTGGCCTGACCCAGTTCTGGCTGTTTTGGTTATTTGGGCAGTAAACCAGAGAGATGAAAGATTTCTTTCTCTCCCCTGCCCCTCTGCCTTTCAAATAAAAAAAAAATCTTTTTAAAAAATTGTGTCTGTTTGTTTCAACCCCGAAGTTGTATTTACTCTTAGCCTATGGGAGAAAATGCTACAGAAAAGGAGTTCTGTCACGCAGTCAGAGTTTTAGTACAGTAAGCAAAAGATTCACAGCAACAGCTTTGGAGATGGGGGGGAGAAAATCTTGGACAGACACATCCGAGTCCATTGCTAAATGTATTCCCAGCCTGTGGGCCCCAGCACCCTGCCTGAGGCTTCCTCCCTGTTCTTTCCTCCACCGCTCACAGCGGCTGCCAAGGGAGGCACCATCAAGGCAGTGGCGACAGCGTGGCTCAGGGGCTTGCTCAACCGCCCGAGGCCTCCAGAAACACGGGTGGAGAGCTGGCATTGGAGCCCACTCACTCCTGTGCTGTGCTGTTCATCTCAGACAAACACTGGCAGGAAAGAGGAACAAAGTGCTTTGAATTCTAAAGTGCAGTCCAATGCGGAATTTACAAATGGGAACTCAGGGACCCTACTTAAGGCTACCTACTACCTTGCAATCAAAACGCTACAAAAGCCCACCGTGCCACGGCAGCAACAAGGGAGCATCGGAGAGGGAACGGCTGTCACCGTGCTACCAGGCCATCCACGTCCTCGTCGCCAGGTAAGGCAGAGAGAGCGAGTCAAGACACAAACGGCACAGCACCACTACTGAAACACTGCCCACTCAAGCCAGGGATGCTTCCTCTCCATGAGAAGCTGGTGAGACATCACATCTTTACCAATTTCATAGAGACAGACGTGCTGAATTTCCCTCTGGTCCACGGCCAGTTCCAAAGCAGTATGGAAGGAAGTCAAGGCACTGTTGATCTGACACTGAGGGAAAGAAGGAAACACAGTTACTGGCTTAGAGCGGTCATTAGCATCACAACCATCAGCATTCTATAGCATCTTCTTCCTTTAGTCAACTGAGGCTCCAGAGAAGAGAGTGGTCTTTAAAATTTATTTATGTACTTATTTGTTTATGTTAGTTGAAAGATAGAGGAGGGGAAGGGACTTCCACCTGCTGGTTCGCTTCCTAAAGGCCTCAGTGAGTCAGGGCTGGGCAAGGTCTAAGGAGCTGGAGCCTGGAGCTCGGAACCTGGAACTCAATCAGGGTTTCCCATGTGAGTGGTAGGGATCCAAGAACTTGAGCCATCACCTATGCCTCCCAGGGTGTGAATCAGCAGGAAGCAGGAATCAGAAGCAGAGCCAGGACCTGAACCCATGCCCTCTGCTGGAGGATGTGGGTGCCCCCACTGGCGTCTCAACTGCTCTGCCGAATGCCTGCCCTGAGACAGTGGTTTAGTGACCGCTAAGGCGGCACTGGAGTTCCCCTACACTGCTGTGAGGCTGACCCAGGCACAGCCCAGGGCACCGCCTGCTCCTGCAGCGCTCTCTTCACTTTGGGGCAGCAGATCTGCCTGTACTTAAGTGTTTGCTAATCTAGCTCCTTGTTATGAGGAATCTTCCAAAAGCATGCAAAACATATTTCATCCTGCTGTATGCAGTCAGGGCTGGCCCAGAAAGACTCTCTCTCAGTCCTGAGCAAGCACACAAAGCCACTGCCCCTGTCAGCCGGTCCTCCGTGGCCTCTCCCTGTGCGGCCCACCAGTCTCCACCCTCTGGTTGTCCGTTGGTGTCTACACCCCAGAAACTGCTCTCCCCTTGTTTTGGTCACCACATCGCTTTCCCAACACTTTGCAAATTCTCTGGGAACTGAGATGACATTTCCAAATGTTGCCTTCTCCTAATGCTATCCAGGACCCAACAGTCTCCGAATCATCTGTTCTACGTATTCCTGGTGCAACACAACACTTCCCACTTGTTCACGGTTTTACTTTGCAGGTCCAGTGACCTGCAATCAGCTGCTGTGCAGAAATACGCGGTAGAGGATATGCGGTAGGATATTTTGAGAGAGGCCTCTTTCACCCAAGATTTATTACAGCACATTGTCACATTTGTTTGATTTTATTATTGTAATCATTCATCTCTTACTGTTTCTAATTTATACATTAAGCTTCATCACAGGTATGTAGGCATAGGGGAAAACCTAGGCTACAGAAGGCTTGGGATGAGCCACGGTTTCAAGGCATGCACGGCCATGGAATGCACCCCCTCTGGAGAACAGGAGACTGCTACACACCCTGTTTTTCTTTCCATCAAAGCTCTCTTTCAAGGCCTGCCAAGCAGATTCCATAGCACTTGATAAGAGCACCAAAAAAGTCAACTAGATAGGCACTGAGGTGGTACATATCACGTGTCATTAATAAATGACAACCTGGAGCAGCCAGCCCCAGATGGTGCATGTGGGCTCCAGGCACCTCTGCCTTGCTCCAGCAGGCATCAGTGGGCCGAGGGCTTTTCCCTCATCCCTCCTCCTGCTGCTGCTCCATGTTACCTACCCCTTTCCCAGGTCTCCCGTGACCTTTTCATTCCACCACCAAGCATTGCGGGCCAGGGGTGTGTGTGTGTGTGTGTGTGTGTGTGTGTGTGTGTGGCGGTCCTGAAAGGGAAGCTGCAGGCTATTTGGAGGACCAGCCCCACTCATACCCCTGGGCTGCTCATGCCAAGCCCCGGCAGAGGGCGCCTGGGACTCAAAGGCCCCAGGGCATTTGTGAGTCAGACAAGTGACCTTCAGGACAGACTGGGACTCAGGAACACTGAAAGCCAAATGACTGATTAGCCAAGGTCACGGCTGGATCAATAAATGCTTGTGGTCCAAAGTACGGTTGTGCGCTGCTTCCAGGACGGTGCCAGCTGCAGTATTTAGTGTCCAGGCTGTTGATCATGTAGCCACGAAAGGCACACCTCACTGCACCATGAATGCCAGTTTGGGGGGGAGGGACAGGGCTTAAGGTCTAGTTTGCAAGGAAGCCCTTGGAAGTGCACAGCAGGTCCATAATTTAGCCCACCATCGCACACTAGCTGTAAGTACACAGCCCAAATGCAAAAGACCAATGATACATTAAAAAATCAATCTTCCATGAAGCGTGTGTGCACATGAACATCTACTACACCCAGTCTCCAACTTCTCCCTTTCTGGATTTACAGCTCTTTTCATGCATCAAACGTGTCCTCAATTCAGCAGATTCCAAAGAAACCACAGCACCTGGGGCTCTGCTGCACACACACTCTGTCTGCTGAGTGAACAATGCTCCAACACCATACACAGTCATTCTAGATGGGCTGCCACCACCGAGCCGTCCACAGCTGTGGGTGCAGGGCACAACAGAGCAATGTCACACACCCTTAAGAGAACAGAAAAGTACGCAGTGAAGATGGAGCAGGCCAGCGTGGGGTGCAGTAGGGTAAGCCTCTGCCTGCAGTGCCAGCATCCCATATGGGCACCAGTTCGAGTCCCGGCTGCTCCACTTCCAATCCAGCTCCCTGCTGATGGCCTGGGAAAGCACTGGAAGATGGCCCAAGTGCTTGGGCCCCTGCACCCACACAGAAGACCCAGAAGAAACACCTGGCTTTGGATTGGCCTACCTTCAGCCACTTCAGTCATTTGGGGAGTGAACCAGTGATAGAAGACCTCTCTCTCCATCTCTCCCTCTCTCTGTAACTCTGCCTCTCAAATAAATGTCTTTAAAAAAATAATTAACTGAGCAACTGCCATGCTAGGCTGTGCAGACACAAAAATAAGTCAAAACAAGGTTTTGAATGTGAGGAAAGGAAGCAGCAGCCAAGAAGCAACATTTGAACCAACAGCCCTTCTCCAAACTCTTTCAAATATGTTCTGAGATAGGCACATAGGAGTATTGGTCCTGCTTGCAGATGAGGAAAGTGAAGTTTAGAGAAGTGAATGAGCTTGGTCAAGATCAAGGTCAACAGGCAGGAACTGTAGAGTATTCAAATTCTACTTTTACTGTCTCCCAAGTTTGCTTTCTTCAGAGACTGTGGATGCATTTGTGATTAAATTAAGGCTCTTGAGATAAAGAAGGCTATGCTGGACCATGTGGTGGACCCCGGATGTACTCACACGCAGCCCCATGAAGAGGAAGGCAGGGGTAGGCGTATGGCGCAGTGCTCAAAGACTGCACTTGGGACGCACAGCCCATGCTGGAGGGCCTGGGTTCGAGTCTTGGCTCTGCTCTCAATTCTTGCTTCTGGCTAATGCATCCTGAGAGGCAGCAGGTGGTAGCTCCTGCCACCCATGTGGGAGACCCAGAGGGAATTCCTGGCTCCTGACTCTGGTCTGGCCTAGCGCTGGCTGCTGTGGGCATTTGGGGAGTGAAGCAGCAGATGGGAAATTTCTGTCTGTCTCGTTGCCTTTCAAATAAAATAAATAATACTTCATATATATATATATTCAAAAGAGAGAAATGCTGAGGAGATGTGATATACACAGAAGAGGAGAGGCCCTGTGATCACAGAGCCAGAGATTGGAGGAATGTGGCCACAAGCCAGGGAATGCAGGCAACCCCCTCGGGGTTGGAAGGGGCAAGGTCTGGATTCCCCCTATAGCCTCCGGAGGGAGCCAGGCCTGCTAGTGCCTTAACTTTGGCCCTGTGCAACCGGTTTTGGACTTCTGGCTTCCACACTGAGAATAAAAAAATTTTTTTTTAAGGCACCCAGTCTGTGGTAATTTGTTACACAGCCTTGGGAAACAAATGCAGGTCCTTTGTCTCAACGTGAAGCATGAAGAAAGCACCACGCCCTTTGTGCTGTAAGGACTGAAACTGAACTTGAGCTTCCTGATGCCCTGTCGTGGGGCTTTGCGGCATTGTCCCCGGGACCAGCACAACCACAGAGGAGCTCACAGGCTGTCCTGATCACTCAGAGAAATGCAGCCGCTGGCCCTGCAAACCGTGGAAATACAGCGACCTTCACTTGCACCACACAGATTGAAAGCAAAAATGATCTGCAGGAGATTTTATGATCACAGACTGAAACCTCCACCACAGAACCAACAAAGCAGAATTATCCTCTCTTGGATGCTCCACTCACAGTTTCATTTTTAAAGAAATGCGTGGAGCCTGGGCTGAAGGGAATACAGAAAAAGCCAGTAAGCCAAGAGTTAGAACCGTACAGCATCATACGCTGACAAAGCAGGTCACAAAACCGCCCGAAGCCTCGGGGTCCTCACCTGTAAAATGCTGCCTTGCTTTGTTTGCTTCCAAAGGAAGCCACAAAGAACAAAATTCACAAGTCTTTGCCAAATTAAACAGCGCATTTCTTGCCAACCTAAAATCAGCAGAGTCCGCAGCCTCTGCATGGTGACTATAGAGATGCAAAGCCTGGCTTCCTTTTTGTACATAAAATAATAATTCATTATTTCAAAGTCACAGAGAGAGAGACAGATTGATTTCTCCATCCCCTGGTTCACTCCCCAAATGCCCTCAATAGCAAGGGCTGGGCTACGCCGAAGCCAGGAGCCAGGAACTCCATCTGGATATACGGCCTGGGTGGTAAGCGTCCAAGGACTTGAGGCCTCATTGCTGCCTCCTAGAGTGCACATAACAGGAAGGCGGAATGGGGCTTGGAGTCAGGACTCAAATCCAGGCACTCCAATTTCGGATGCAGGCATCACAAACGGCATTGTAACCCCTGCGCCACACTCCTACCCACCCCTCAAACCTCGCTTCTTGGTAGGTACATCCCTAGGCGTTTGGGAACACTTGCAAAATGGATTTGTTGCTCCATTTTATCCACTAAAAAAAGTGTTGCCAGTGCATGGGAAACCTGGATTTTTGCAGCATTACTCTGGTCTCCACATTATTTTGCTCTTAAGGGTTCACAGAAAGTGACACTGTTTCCTCCTGGATTTTCCATGGAGATATTCAAATCATTTGCAAGTAATGCCAGTGCTGTCCCTTCCTCCACGGGAGGCT